AAAGCAATTCTTGTGATGGTAAATTGAAATTCTGTTGTCGTCTCTTTTTCTAATTTCTGTCTGTCTCTACCTTGTAGGCTATGCTGTTGATATAATTATTATTGTTTGAAAAGCAAATGATTTAATATTCGGATCCATGAATCTATAGACAAATTATGCTCTCTGTTATTGGAAATGAGTAGTTCAATTCAAAATTTCATACAATAACTCTTCTGTTATTCTTATTGGGTTTAGCTTTTTATGAAGGCACAGAAATGAATGTCATGTCCAGTGCAAATTATCAAAATCATATTTCTGAAATAATCATTACAGATATTCTAGATCAGTAATGATAATCTTTTCTGGCTTGCAGGCCAAAAGTAAACTTTGTAGATTTCTGACAAGCCTTGTGCAATTTTTCTTACAAACTTGCAAACTTTAAGCTTGCTGAGTATAGACATACAGTCTATACTCGGCAGTACCCCCTATAACACTGTTGATAATTCCGTTTTATATGAATTCCACATTGTACGAGTCACTTATATTTTACAAATACGTGAGCCGTTCACAGCCCAGCATAGGTATTTATAAAATCTAAGTGACTCGTACAACGTGGAATTCATATAAAATGGTATTATCAACAGTGTTATAGGGGGTCGACTGTACTATGTAACTGAAAGTACACTAGGTACTAAAATAATACATGTTAATGATAATCAAACAAATAATATGTAGCTTAATCTCATCTTTTCAGGGACCTTGTGGACCACAAGATCTAATGAGGGTCTTGAGCAAATACTACTTGTTTTATTGAGAAATATATCAGATTTTCCAAATCAAACGTCTTTTTACTCAATTAGTAAGTAGTAATGAATCATCTTTAGACAAATATATTAAAACCGGCATGCTAATTCTAAATACTAGATTATTTCAGGCTACATTATGAATAATTTTAAAATTTGACTTAGACAGTGTTATAAATTTTAAAAATCAATTTTAAATTTAATTAAATAATTTAGAAAACTGGAAAAAATATTGATCTGAAACAGGAAAAATCTGCAACTACTGCATATCAGACAGGCATGTTACTAGTTGTTCTATACAAACTTCTATTGCAATCAGTGTTTCCAGATATATACAGTAGAGCATAGGTTATCCGACCCCCGATTAACCGTCACATCGGTTAACCGACTGTTCTATTCGGCAAATTTCAAATGTCCGTTAGTGATGTGGCGCTACAATACAGTTNTCGTGTTGCCAACTCTAATTAAAACAAAATATCTAAAAAATGAAATAAAATATCCAGATCTCATAGGCTACATGCTATTATAAATTCTGTGAAAAAATATCTAAATTCATTAGGCCACATGCTATAAAATTTGGGAGAAAACATCTAGACAACATTAAAAGTACTTAGATCTAAAAGGAAATATTTAGATGTGTAACAGAGGGGTAATTGCCAAATCTCTATTTTATTCGAGGCTGCACTATTTTTACTTCTTGTATATTTGGCACTTTTAAAATTTTACCAAATAACCCAGACAAAATGACAAACTGGCCAGGACACTGGGACAACATCGTCAAACCGGGACATCTGGTAAGCCTATATTAATATAATATATATTTTTATTTATTTAAAATAAATTTTAAGCATTTTAACTATTATTTATCAAAATTAATTAATCTGTAAATACAGATGTTAATGTAATTTTTTTCCATTCATATTTATACATTTATGTTGGAAAAAGTTATAGAATAAAGCATCATTTTAATAAAATAATAATTTATTTTATAATTTTCAATCTGGAATTTCACTTACTTTTTAAAAACTTTTTCTCTTTCTTTAGAATTTGTTATATTAAAATTGTATAGTGAAAAAATGCTAAGAAAGGAAATTAACATTTAAAGGATTTTCTGTTGTTAAGTATTTTAAATTTGATATGTTAATTAACATAAATAAAGTGGTTTATCAATGCATTTTTAGTAGGACTTGCAGCAATGATGTATGGATAAATTTATTTTATTTTAAATTAATTTTATATATATAAAGTTTATAATGGTCAAAACAGGATAGCTGCAACTTAGAAATTTTTTAATGCAATTTTAATGCTTAAATTCTGAATGTGAATATCTTCAAATGCATCAAAAAAGTTATTTCCAATAATTAATATAATAGAATAAATCTAAATAACTTTTAAATGATCCAGATTTATTTTTACTGTTAACTAATAGAAAATACAATATTTTGCTTTTAGCAATTATGACGTATTGAAAATTGTGGGAAATATGCGGATATATTGAGAAGAGCATTTATCTCAATTTTAGTAGAGAATACTTAGCAATATGAGAAAATAAACTTTAATTTTTTGAAAGTGTCAATGAAAAAGGTTGAAATTTTCATTTCTAATCTTTATTTGATTACTTTATTGGTTGACAATTTTGTGTTTTAGGCAGAAGTCTTCATACAATTTTTGTAAGTAACAAATACAAATGCATGACAAATAAGTTGTTGACTTTTATTATAGACTTTATACTAGTAAAATGAGTTCAAGAAAAGTAATGCTTTTAGATATGTCAATTTAGTAAAGAAAGCTTCATATTGTAAATTCTACCTACAACTTGTATTAATAATTGTATTAAAAATTTAAATGAGTTCAAGAAAAGTAATGCTTTTAGATATGTCAATTTAGTAAAGAAAGCTTCATATTGTAAATTCTACCTACAAGTTGTATTAATAATTGTATTAATATTGTTGTAATAATTATTATTGCTAATGTCCATAGTTATTTTAGATAATATCTATCTATGATCAATAGAAAACCTTCCTCACTTATTTCTAACCATTTATATACGAGTACAAATGTTTTCGGCCTTCTTCAGGTACACTGTGATCTGATAGAGCGTTGGTTGGTAGAAGTTTAAATGCTGCCAATGTTTACCTAGGCATCGTCTTACCAGTGACGTCATCACTGATGATAGGTATAGACGATACCGAGGGCAAAAAATACTTTCTTTTGGTAAAAAAGGGAGGTGTGTGGATAGTTCATGATGGGATACTCGCTAAAGTTGGGGAATAAATTGTAAAGTAAGCGCGCTGCGTAAAGAAGATGCACTATCACGATAGGGGGTTAATGGGGAGTGACATCATAGTTGATGCCATAAACAGTTAACGATACAGTGTAATACATTAAGCAGTAACACAAATTGCATATTCATAAAAGATACACAGTATATAGGGTCACAATAATGACCTAAGTCATCCAAATAATTTTTAATGAAAGATATCTAGTGTTATAGAAGTGAGGTAATATGATAAAGTGACGTTGTGTTAACAGATGATACTGACAGTAGCATCCCTAATGATAAAATTTGAAAGTTAGCGTTTTTATCTTGGAAACTGTAAAAGATACAGAAAAAAGCAAATGAGAAAGTTGTGGAGCATCACCAGAATAGTAGAAAAGGACATTTCACAGAAACACAGATGGTGCAAATAAAAGGCTGGGTTGTTTACCTATGGCTGCTTTCAGGATGAGCTGCAATAGTGTCTCTCATACTTAACCATTGAATAGCTCAATGAATGATCTGGCCAGATGTGGGGCAAAAGGTAAGGTAAACAAACTGCCATGAAGCTTACTAGCATTTTGTTTGAATTTGCTATACCTACATTTTTATCTGTCTGAATGATGTCAGGTTACAGCCATCTTTTACATATAAAAGAGTGTACTGCTCATAGACAAATATTGGCTGTGTGTGTCAATTTTCCAGCTTCCTATTTGCAAAACCTGTTACAGTGAAAGGTCATTCCCTATTAATTTGGTGACATGTATTTTTATCTGTATCTCTCATAGTTTAAGAGAGGAACACTACCAGTGATTACCAAATTTTATCAGTAAAGATGCTGCTGTTGATCTCATCTGGTAGTACATTGTCACTTTACTATACCATCACTTTCATAGTTCTAGATATCTTCATTCAAAAAAGTTATTTGGGTGACTTAGGAATGTCACCCAAATAACAAATAATGGGACCAATGGAATGGGCCCAGTACATGGCTGCATACTGTGACCATTCTTAATAGTTTTGGCACCCAAGGCAAATGTAAGAAAACTCATACCTTAAAACAAAAACCTTTAAAATGCAGCCTTTTTATTTGTATTTCAAACGTTTTCGGTTATTTTGAAGAAGTTTGTTACAGAAAGTAAAAGCAGAATCATTTGATTTTTCTGTTCCTGAGGAAGACCATTCAAAATGGCCAAAAATATTTGAAATATGAATAAAAAGGCTGCATTTTAAAGGTGTTTGTTTTGAGGTATGAGTTATATTTAAGCGCAATTACAGAAGAGTGAAAATGTAAGAAAAGTGCCGATGTATTTATATTTCTATAAACATTATGACATCTTTTNGAAAAATACGTAACAACATTCTCCTTCCTTACTCAAATATCTTTTGTTACTTTTATTTAAAATAAAAATATTAATACAGTAATACCTTGACTTATGCGAACCTGGAGTTACGCAATTTTCAAATCTCGTCGATTCGTCTTTTGTTTGGGCGTCACGCAACGCTTGATTACTAACTCCCCCCACAATATTGTTCACTTACATATTCGGACGTGTCGTGCAGAATCGATGAATAGCTACAATTTATTTTGTGTTATTTATTTCTGTGTTTGTTATATCTACGGAGATTTGAGAGACTCTATGTGGTGATTTCTTGTAACTGTGAACGAATCAAAAGACGAGATAAGATTAACGAGAACATTTATTAGCTTACATACATCTGATTTGGATTTTACACAAATTGCGAAATTATACCCCGACTTACGCGGTTATCGCTTGGTCCCACCTATCGCGTAAGTTCAGGGTATTACTGTAATAAATATTTAAAAAAACAAATGCATTTTAAATATTAAAAATATTTGATGAGGAGAGTGAATGTTTGTTTAATTTTCTAAAATTTCTTACCCTGATATTATTAAATGAAATTAATGAAAGCCTTCAAAAAAATATTTACGAATCTACCTCGAGCCCAATGAATGGGATAAATATTTCTCCATAATGAAGGATCATACACAAACTGACTCCACTTCTGGCAGACTTCCGAACATCGTAAAAGATCGGGAATTGGTAAGAATGAAAAGATGTTCACTATGACTTCTGGTGGCAACCTTAAAAATGTGTTTTGATCCACTTCCTCAGCAAGTTCATTTTCTGAATTAGTGATAAAAATTTGTTCAAATATGTAATTTGTATGAGAAAAAAAATACATTAAATCTATAAATAAAATTAAGAATTAATTACATTTATAGTGAAAGATGTATACATGTAACAATAATAATTAAGTTAAAATACAACCAATGTTTTGTATCTGTACTAACATATAATTATAATTTTTATAATTCAATAATTATTTCTATCATTGAAATTCATTTCATAAAGCAGTCATCTAAACAGTAGTGCAAATACAAAATCTTCCAATAAGAATGCTACTGTTGTAAACTATTGTAATTATGTTAATTATTATCAGATGACTTTGAAATGTATACTTAAACATTGACTAACCATCCAACTTTCACATTTGTCCATTACTATTTGTCTATGCATACACTTATGTTACATGGCACAATACTTAAATTCTTCCTCTGCTTGCTACGGCACATCCATTATCACTCCTCCCACAGCAGCCACGATTCTGAGGCTTCTGCATGTGAGGAATTGCACAATTCCTAGTGGTTTTGACTCTGCCAAATGCAGACTGTCTTCTCTGTTGTGGAACTACCATTTTCATTTATCGCACTTTCAAAGGTAATAGATGACAAGACATTCAAAAGCAAATGGGAGATGAAACCTGGGGAGTTACTCTAGCAATTGGTTATTACTTAAGGAGGTATGCAATGTAATTAACTTAATTACAGTAATTTAAAATGGTAGCATTCATTTTGGAAGATTCTGTATCATACTATTTTATGAAGAGTTTCTTGAAAACATAATCATTATAACGAATGTTAAATCAAGTACCAAAAATCATTTATAAATAAAATTTTAACACTGATAAAACATACTTGAATCAGTTTCCTCTTCCTCAGAACATTTTTCTTGTTCGTTAGATAGTTGCCATTTAACATGTTCTTTAATAACTTGTTCTTTTAATATTTTCAGCTCTTCATATTCAAAATATTTTATTAACATGGGCTGAAATACCTATTTATATAAGAAAATAAAGTATTATTAGTAAATATAATATTAAATAAATGCTTTCTTTTTATTGTACTTGTAGCTGAATAATTAAACTATATCATCAGTTAGGTGATTTTTTTCATGTACAATAAATTTTTGTTAATTCTTGTTGAAGTTAGATAATTCCAACAGTGATGAACTGGCTTACAGGCTCATGGTAAATGTAATCTTTTACTCAAAATTTCAAAATGACTGGTCCAGATTTGGACATGAATTGTGGAGATTTGCAGATTGACTCTTGCAAACAACACTTGATTCAGCAACATGCATTTTTTAACTTCAATTTGAAAATAACCTATAACAATTTAGGCCATAAGCTGCAGTGATTTGTTTTTACTCTCTTTCTGTCCCATGGACATTAAGCCAATAGCAGGTTTGGCCAGGCTACAATGGAAACATGCAATGGATAGGCTATTTGTCTTCCTGTATTTGTGCAAATTAAAATTTTTGCCACCAGGTGATTTAGGGCTGTCAAATTCTTGAAATTTTTTATCTCCCCTCTTGTCCCAGTTTGTCTAAGTTTCTGTAACCCCCTTCAGATATCCAACAAAAACACAATCTCCCTTAAAACTTTCATCACTTTATGAATGACAGATACCTTAAGTAGAAACAATATATACAAGAAATTTTGAAATAAATATAAAATGCATAAACTGCATAAAATTTAATGAAATACATAAGCATACACTGAACCCTCCTCATGTCCAACTTTGACTTGTCTTAATCCCATCTCTCCATTCCAGTGCAGACGTCATTTATGGACAACCCCTGTTGATTTGGCAGAAATTAAATTACAGGATTGGACACATTTGTAACAATTATAATTTGTTCAAGAAAAACACCTGAATGCATCATATCAGGAAAAAACACATTGAAATCAATTTACTGCAATTAGATAATTAAAAATATTACTATCAGCTATCATTTATAATTATGGATCAAGAAAATGTTTTTTTGCCAATTGACAACTGCAACATTCACTATAATTGGGCAGCAGCTGAATATCAGAAAATTAAAATCTAGCAGAATTTTGAAGCATGAGATAATTAGCAATATGACTTTATTGATATGGTAATATTCAAAGCAATTGTAACAATTAACTGCAAGAGTTGTCCCACTTGATTTGTTACAGCTCAATCTATCAATTCAGCGGAGTTACGTACACGCAGGGTAAAGGGGTCCCCATGGGCAGTTCTGTCTCTAGGGATCTTTGTGAGTTAGTAATCAGACAATTGGAGAAAACAATACTTCCAAATTTCCTCCAAAACATCATAATTTACAAACGATACGTTAACGACATCATTCTCTGGAGAGACTCCCTGAACATCACCCGATTCTTAGATCAAATGAACAACAATCCCTACGGTCTTACCCTGGAGGTCGAGCAGCACAGCAACTCATCGGTGCATTTTCTGAATTTGAATATTGACTTTGGAAGACTAATCATACACACCTCCATGTACCACAAACCATCAGACTATCCAACATATATCCTGGCAGACTCTTGTGACCCTGTCCAATACAAGATGGCAGCGTTTAGAGCCCTAGTTAAAAGGGCACACTCTTCTACTCAAGGGACTTTAGAACAAGAGCTGCAATACCTATGCGAAGTGGCCAAACACCATGGCTACCATAACATCGTACAAAAAATGTCGCAACTGTTCGGAGGAATGATGTCTCCTTCTAAAAGAGTTAATTCAATAAATGGCAACCAGAAGGAGGATATGCAGAGGGTGTCGTTTACCTACAACCCACTATTGAAATCACTATATAGTAGAATCGCACGGCAGAGGGATATCTCCCTAGCCTTCAGAAGATGCCCATCTATATTTGATATTCTACACAATGGAAAGGACAAATCTAAGGAGGAAAGAATGCTGGGTGGGGGTATATAGAGTGCCACTTAGGGACCACTGTTTTGACAAAGACTTAATTTACATAGGCTCAACGAAACATGCTGTTGGGATCAGGTTGAAAGAACACATGCGTGACATTCAACATAATAAATGTTCCACTTCCTTATCCACTTACGCGTCTGATCCAGAGATAACAGCAGACTTTTCAAATGCTAAGTTAATTATCATCTCCTCATATTTAGACCATCTCAAATGGTTGGAGCAGATAGAGATATACATGGCATACAGCACTTCATCAGCCATTAATTCCAGAGATGAGATCTATCTTTCTTTGGCATGGCAGACCCTAATACAGCAGGAGGATTAAGTGAATCGTAAACCTAAAAGAAAGGAAGTAAAGGGGTAGTCTGTGTTTATGTGATATGTTTTTTATGCTTAACAACAAAGTTCTTCATAAAATCTTTAAAAAAAAGGGATAATATTTAAATAGCTGTCAATATGATGTAGAAGCTGTGACGTTCGGAGCTATTAATCACGTAATTCCGTTCTATCTTTCCGATTTTTAAAAAATCGTTCCAAACAAAAGTATTTAGTAACGTTTCAAACGATATTTTTACCTGAAGAAGGACCCAGGAGGGGTCTGAAAACGTTTGTACTGTTAAATTTTATTTCGCTTCGGTTAAAGGTTTTTCTGAGGTACGTGTTATTCAAAGCAATTGTTTTAAATGATATTTTTTAAAAATATTTTCCGTGTCATTTCCATATAAGACTGTAATGACACTCAGATTTAGAACAAAATTTTCATTTAATTTAACACTATAAATTCTCATCCCTCAGTGCATTTGCAATAACTCTGTGCAAGAAATAGTTCAATATAAAGCTAAAATTAGCAATATTTGCCAGATATAATCAGTTATTTTGGTAACTACTAAAAGAAATTGTTAATAGAATGTTGTTTTTGTGAACTATCATCTCTGGGACTAAATATATAATAATTAATAGATGTTCACATTTTTTATAGGATGAGGCCATTGCCTTTACAATGGTAAAGGTAACGGAGAGAGATATGTTTTGTAGCACACAGTGATGAGGTCGCCACTTTACTTTTTTGTTTCATGCACAAAACATAGTAGTAAAGTATTTATAATCCGCTCTGCTTACAGTGAACTAATTATAAATAATAAAATTTTCATACTTTAAACTAAGCAAATCACTACTAACAAAGTATTTTTATCCAATTTATAATAACTTTGTTTTAAAGGCAAAAATTCATAAATATATTTCTTTTTGTTATTGATTTATAATATGATAATTGCATCTGTGTTGCATTAACTTATATTAATTTAATACAGTATACTCCCAATTATCTGGGTTAATCACCGATAATGGAAGCTCAGATAATCCACAAGTCTGTTCTAATGAAAAGGTAATCAATTTTTCTTTTATTTACTTTTTAATTTCATATTAACATAATATTTTATATATAATGAATAAAATATGTTTTCAGAGCAATATGTAATTAATTAATAAGCTTTAGATAGGATCAGAGTTGAATAAAACTTTCAACATAAACAGAAAATTCAGAGTAATTTATTGGACTAGCACCGTGAAGTTAACTTATCGATTTCTTGTAGGAATGACAGGTTTGCAGCTAGATATCATCATAAAACATAATTAATTTTATAATATTAATGACTTATTGATAAGGAAATGATTCAAAATATTTTCTTAAAACAATCTTACAGCTTAGTTAATAAAAAAAAATATAGTATACACATAAGTAAAGCCATGTGGTTCAAGAATCAACTGCACTTACTGTACTTGTTAGGCCATTTGATTTATGCCCAGATGTGGCGACAGCTTTGGTAACAAATCCCAAAGTCGCCACCAAGAGGAACCCCTGAATTGAACAGACCTGGCAACCTGACCTATAACAACACATTCCTTTTGGATTCGGACCTCGCTCCAGACGTATGGATTATTGCTCCCGTGTTCAACTTGTACAGTCACGCCATATTTCATGTATATAATAAATTTTAATCTTCTATTGTATGTGACCTTGTTTGTAGTGATTAATTATGCACGAACAAGTACCCACTCCAGAGTACCCACACCTTTCTAGTAGTAGTAGTAGTTCCGATTCTCAATAAACCATTTTAAATAGTAAGAGTTAACAACGCAGAGTTTTTTTAATGCTAATATTCATGACAAATTTTTATTGAGATATAAGCATGCACAAATAATCTGCATTGGATAATCAAGAGTATACCATAATAGTATATTTATAATGTATATGAATACAGTTAAACTACAATGTAAGCATAAGGAATAACTGTTCACAAATATAAACATTCATTATATATATATATAAATAAATTACTTAAAAATTTACCTCTTCCTCTTCTCTCATATGAGGCAAAAATAAATCGGTAAATTCTTCCACGGCATGCTGAAGTTTTATTCCGTAATTAATACATTCAGCGACAGTCTTGACACTACACGAATAACCGTCTTGAACAAGATCCAATATGTCTGACAGGCGATTGTCCGAATGACAATTACACACCGTTGCATCTTGAACGGAGAGAGACTAAAAATTTTTTTCATTAATTATTATTAGATAATAATTAGCATTTGAGAAATGTTTTTCAAAATAATGTAATATTTAAAAAAGAATTAAATTAGCTAATTTTTGATTATATTCAATCAAATAAAATAATAAACTTACTTTATTTTGTTGAAATTTACTCATTTACAAGGAAAAAAATTAGAAATAAAATATATTGGGGAATTAAAGGTTTAAATTTTTAAAAATCTTAGAAAAATGCTTATATCAGCAAGTAAAAAATATAAAATGCAGTGTATTTTTGTATTTTCAAGCTATCTTTGAGACTGTTAAAATTAAAATCTATACAGAATTTACTTTCTGTATGCTTTACAAATTTAGAAATATTAAGTAAACAGTCAATAAAATTTATGCTCATCGTGTGAATGTGTTACCAGTTATGCAACCCGGACCTCCGGGCTGATATCTTCCAGTATATATAAGCTTAACATATAACCATCGTCAGTTATATGTTAAGTTTATATATACAACTGCCATAAATTTTCAGGCTATAATTTTCCAAACTGTAGCCGGATTATTTATAGCAGTTGTGGATGTCTATTTGCTATACATCAGGTTTTGGTTGGTGTGTATATTTATATATTTATGCTCATATAAATATTTCTTTAAAATTCTTTTGAATTTAAATTATTCTATATTTTAAGTTAAAAACCAATCAAATGTTACTAGAACTAGTACTAGAGTATTTGCTGCCATTATGCAAAAATTTTTATAGTGCACTAAAATTATCATTATTATAATGCTCAGCATTAATTGGTTATATATAACTATAATTAAAAGTTAACGTAATTCAAATAAACAAAATAAAACAGTGGCTTAGTGAAAATTAAATTCTCTTTTTGCATCCAAAATGCCCTGTCATTGGTTCTGTTGACATCAAGTTGCTCCTGTGCCTTGCATAGGCTGTTTAGTGCATTCCATTGGCCCTGAATGTTAGTCAAGTAACAGCAATTAAAAAAAATAATAATAATTTGTCATTGAAAACATCTAACTACATAAACACTAAAATGTGCATTTATTTCAAAAAACACTTTTCTAATTACAATGAGAAATGTCTTATGTAACCAATGTATTAATGAACCTTTAAAAACCAGTAACAAAAGGAAAAAACATTTAATCCTTCCAATCCTTCCAAATTGACCATATTAGGGCTCTAGAAGACTGAGATATACAAGACCAGCTGATGGGCAACTGTATCGACTTTAAAGACAGCAGGACTGTATGCCTGGTGATATTTGTATGAAAAAGATTGCAATGTGGACAAAAATTGACTTATATCATTTTCCATTAGGCTTTATCCTAAAATAATTTATGCATACATGTTTGCAGTATGTCTATCAATATTTTGTATTTGTGTATTTTCCACCTTTTAAATTTTTGTACATGTTATGTGTTCCAAATGTTTAACAATAATATTTCAAAAACGTTTTGTTCTATGCTTTCCAATTTTGAAATTTTCATTGGTTTACAAAACCTGAAGCTGATCTTGGTTAAGGTCGAAAGTGTTTGAGGTTTTTATGAAACATTTTCCTTTTGTTACTGGTTTTTAAAGGTTTGTTAATTCATTAGTCATTACTTCCAGTAATTAAGTAAGAAGATATCTTTAGGTCTTATATAACTCAATAATATAAATTTTAATAATGATCTGTTAAAATTCTGTAGGAGGATTCACATTATGTGGTGTGTCCTTCCCGATGGCGCTCATTTCACCATGGCAATTCATATAGTAGACTTAATATTGTGTGTTTCAAGGAATCGAAATTTGCATTTATTTCAATTTCATCAAAAACGAAATAACAACAAAATGTTTTGAAAATAGTAAAACACAATGCTATTCAAAAATTTGGATGTAACAAATTGATTTCTCTAGAATAGTACAAATAAAACATGAAATATAAAAAAAGTGTCAGATTTGAAATAATACACAAACTCAAAAACCAAGCATTAAATACTATTTGATAATAACAAAATGATTTGTTTAAATAATACAAAGAATTAGTTTAATTTTTATTATCACATCTATTAATTACAATCTTTGAATAAAAATTTATAGGAATATAACTTATTTTGGTAACTTACTTTTAGTTGGAAACTGTTTCAATGGCTGCCATTACTTATCTATACTAATATTATAAAGAGGAAATGTTTGTAAGTATGTAAGTAAGTTTGTATGCAGCGGATAATCTCCGAAACTACTCATCCAATTTCAAAAATTCTTTCACCAATATTTAGAATGGAACTTCAGGGTGGGCATAGGCTGTATATTATTCTATTAAACATTCATATAAATTAAAAGATATCATCTAGGTTAAGGCTTTTATGTCCAACAGATGACGCTATGAGTACGATGACCTAAGTTTGCTTTTCTGTGAGGCATTATGCTTTTCTGTGAAAATGAACTAAAGCAAATCATCTTCTACCTATCTATATAAATAAAAATGTAATGTTTGTTTGTTCATACCGATTCCTTTCAAATTTTGACATAATGCTGCATTCGAATACGCACGTGTTTTTATATAATATATGTGTCGAAATTCCACCCACTGAAGGGAGATGGTTAAGATTAACGCTTACCATAAAGGTATATGTAACAGCCAGAAAAGTAAAATGCATATTTACACAATTCCATTACTTTCAATTCAAATTTGACACAATTCCAGGAAAGTAATGGAACTGTGTCAAATGTGACCCTTAGAGAGAGTTTTTTCAAATCTCCATGTTTTGAGATCTCCTGAACCCATAAAAGTAAAAAAACAGCAAAAAAATTCTGTGGATGTGTGGACATGTGTATTGGCGTTATTTCATTTAATATCTCAGGACAGGATAAAGACAAAGAAATGAAATTTGGCACGGTAGCTTGTATATAAGGGACACTAATGCTATTAAATTTTAGTAGTGAAAGGTCAAGGGGATAGAGAGATAGAGGGTGGTCACATGATATATGTCATGTGGGGTTAGACTTAATAAAGATTTTACTTTTACTTGTTATTAGTATTTACAGTCTTTTATGAAACTCATCTCTCCTCTCAAAATTAAGTCTTTTGCTATTTTGTAATACAGTCGACCCCCCTATAATTACGGTCCCTATAATTACGATTCCTATAAAACTACGAAAAAATATACGTATTTTGGAAATGTTGAGTCGGATTAGTGTAGAATCGATTAATTTTATGGAAGAAAACCTTTCAATCAGCTGTAGTCCGTAAACTTGACACGTGTCGGGCTGTGATTGGAACGACTTGTAAGAAATTGGATTCCTAATAAATTGGAACGTATCTATATCTTATAGGGGGGTCGACTGTAATTAAAAATGTTTTTATAACAAATCTCATAATAGATGGTGCCACATACAATTTAGTTATATATTTTGATTAGTAATACAAATATTAATTTTAAAATAAAATTTCATAACAGCTGGAAAGTTGCACAACTCATTGCTAGATTTTTTGTACTTTATCAAAGTTGTATGAATGCATATTCCAACTATTTGTTCAAATACTAAGGGTGACACCTTCATTTGTTTTCTTACACCCACACCTTGAATTTTTTCATTCCAAATTTAAATCCATTATAATATCTTTTTGCTTAAACATTTGAAATATAAATCTTGAAATTTGAGTAGGATATGAAAAATGTCAACTTCAAATATTAAAAATTTCCAAAAATTGATTGAATAATCCATTCTCCACAAGCTGCTCCATTGATGCAAATGCACACATTGAAGACTTATTTGTATATTTCCATATAAACACTGCATGGTATGTTTGATTTCAAACAAATATTCAAATATTTAAATTTTTATATTATCATTGAATCAAAGTAATCTTAATTCAATCTTTAATTTGTAAAAGATGTAATCAATCCATTTTGGACCCCCATTCAAACTTGCCTATGTTATTTCTGTAAGTGATGTGGCAAGATCTTAAAAAGTGACATTCATCGTGCCATGCAGACTTTAATGGATAATTACCTAAATTTTTACAATTTTATCATACAAAAAGTGATTTAATATTTTTACATGATACTATCATAATTTTCAGAAGAGTTATAGTGAGAAACTGTAACCAATGTGTTATGGTAATTAATAAGCTGCTTACATAAAGAGCAAATACATATTTTTAATCTGTAGAGCATCTGTTCATTGATTTCTATTGCAATTCATCAAAAAACAGAAATGTTATTAAAATTATATTGTTAAGTAACATTTAATTAAAGACAAAATGAATGCACTTACCATCAATCTTCCCTTCAACTTTCTCATTATAAGCTTATTTTCAATGTATTCGTGACATTTGAATTCGCGAAATGCATGATGCAGGCTATGCAGAAGAGATTCCAAAGCTTTTCCATCAGAAAAATCCGTACATGACAACTAAAATAAAAAATTTCATAAATATCAAATTATAATGTTAATTTTTAGGTAAAAGTTACAATACTAAACTTAAATTTTCAGTGAGTAACATAAGATGATGGATTTAATTTAATATGAAAACAGATACATCATCCATAGTTCAAGAAACTGCATGTCTCCTCAAATTTCTAACAATTTGATATATTAATATATAATAAATACTAATATTCAATAAAACAATTTGAAATATGAATATTCAACTAGTATACCTGCTAAAAACCCATTGAAGTATAAACACAGACTATATGTACAGCTGGAATTATTAACATTAAACTATAACGTATATAATCTGATAAAATATGAATGGCACAAAGTGAAGAAACTGTTGTGTTTACAGAGTATTTAAAAAGTTACTGTGAAGTGAGTAATTCGTAATGACATTAAAGTTGTATGTATGGCATTGCATACAAGACTCTCAGTCATATGTCCCACATTTCCCTTTATCATAGATGCCATCACTGCTTGCTCACAGACATTCTGGCTTTTGGACTACAGTTTTTGGAAGACTTTGCCGACTGCATAATCTCCCATGAAATCAGACCTGCCAGATCTCCAGACCTCACTCTACCAGATTTTAGGACCTCCGAGGTCATTTCAGACATTTGCCATAACAGACACTGCAATATCATACATAAAACTTAATTTTTAAACCTGTTTCATCACACAGTAACTTTTAGGCCGACCCGTATAATCTGTAAATAATAAATGACAATAAAATGACAAATGTTGCTATTTTATTAATATTAAATTAGAAACACAAAATTTGATGGACAACAATAAATTATAATCATTCATGACATAAGACAGATCGTACAGACGGACAAAGAACTAAAGACTGCATGCCAACAAAAATATCATTAATGATTAAACAAAGCTCTTCACAAATAAAAACAACAGTATTCACATCTATTCCGCATATGAAGGATTAAACAGAAAATAAAACTATCAGCCAGTGCTAAATTATTTGTGCTTAAGTTTCAAATTTCATATATAGACATAACATGTTAACCTTTTCAAGTTTCTTACTTTTTTTATAGTTAAATTAGATATAAGGCAAATTTACTGCTTGGAAACAAGCATTATTTCTGAACTTAAAACAATTCAAGCATTTTCTTTGATATTAACATACAATATGTTTATAGATTTATCAACAGTACTATTTCTTAAATTAAACAAGTAAAACAAAATTAATAAGTACTTTCACTATTATTATTCAAAGTATTGTCAGATTATATTCAATACAAAAAGTTGAATAAAGAACAAAACAATAGAACACAACTACCTGTACAATAATTTCAACTACCTGTACAATAATTATGCAATTTTCTTCTTCCAGTAGAGAATTTTGTAATAAAATAATTTCATATTTCTGATAAATTTGAATAGTGGTATGTTACCTCCATTTTGCTTTATATGAGAGTCAACATTTAATTTTATTTTATATATAAAAAAGTAAATTAAATTAAAGTACTTTTGAGCCTTCTGGCTCATTGCCAGAGGAATTTATTTGTGGAATAATATTCATATTCCAAAATTCAGAACAATGAGTTATAAATTTAAATTTGTTTTGGTGAATTTAATTTTAAAAGTTTTGGTCTATTCTAAATTTCGATGCTTTTGCATTAACGCTGCCAACGACAAGTTGGGAGGTTCAAAAGGACTTGGGATTGTTGTATATTTTAAATTTGATCTATATTTTATGTTGGATCTCCAATAAAGTAAGATTGAACTGAATATAGAAATTGGAGATTAGTATTGATTTTAAATGATGATATCAATAAATCTGTGAATACGTAGTGGTAGATTGTTCAGAAAGAAAAAAATGTTATCCATTTGATTTTAATGTCAAGCATTTTCAGAAATTAGTAAAGTCAATGAAAAATTTGAAGTTAAACTTGTTCCATTGTCTGTCTTATTTCTAATTCAAGACTGAAAAATAGGTCATTTAGTACGTGAATATTATTAGATGGCGTGTGTACAATTCCTTATGTTAAAGAACTTACTTAAATGATCCTGGCTTTCCTAACTCTTGCTTTTATTAATGCATGAAATACATATTTTTTTGTTGTTTATCTCTGCATGGTATTATATAGTTAAAACCATTTCTAGGAATGTAACCTCAATTTGCAACAGTGAGGTTATACAAAATAGAACGGTTCACTTAATGACAGTTTTCTAGGAATCTATTAAGTTGTAAGAACAGGATTGTACTGTAACCCTGTTTCTAACTACTGCATTAATTTTTTATTATTTCATAACTAATTCCATACACTACACAGTAATTTGAAATGTACTGAGTAATTGTTTGCTAAATGTTAATCATGCTATTTGGCTCCTCCACCAATTAAATCAGTAAATAATCATTCCACTGGAAAAAGATAATTTAATAATTTTTAATTTAAAAAATAATAAACAAAAAAAATGATGTTTAAATAAATGATAGCTTTCTTATTAATGATAATTTGGAATAATCATGACACTATATCCCTTTTTATTATAAACTGCTAGCTTTTTTTATCTGCCTGTTTTTGAAAAAGTTTTCATTTTTTAACAAGTGGATTGTACACTGCCAATTATTTCATATTCTTTTGTTAATTAAATTGCATTTGAAAGAATGTCTGTTGTAATGTAAGTCAACAAATTTATCAATTACTAATGGAAAAATGCAACTGCCAGAAGAGTTGAAGTCATCACACCTGTCTACTCAGAATGGCATCAGTATAAAATAGCAAAAAAGTTAAAAATCACATTAAAAAGAAAATAATGAAACACTATCTTGAATCAATATAAAAAAAATCTTAGAAATAGTTTAATCTGATAATTTTAATTATACTCAGTTATTAGAAAATTATCATGGTATTCAGATGAAACTATGCTGTTTGGTCTGACCTCTCAACTGGACACTGGAGAGGACCAACAGAACCAAACAGTTTGGTTCAAAACCAAATGACTGGCAACCCTAGCTATTACAAATAAGTTTGGTTCGTTATATTGGTCTTACAGATAGGAGGCAAGCTGCAGACGTTAAGGGAGCAGAAGTGCGCATGCAGAGCATTTTTAATTTAAGAATCTCGTTAGGCAATGAACATAATTGTTATTTATGCACCAACTGCATCAGTTTTAAGTGAATTACATATTGAACCAAGCAGTTTTCCTTTAAATCTGGAATATTAAAGCAAGCTTACCTTTCCACTACAATGCAATGTGGACAGGAGGCTAAGCAATAAAAGAAATCAGTGTCTCTACACTGATTTCTTTTATTATGTAAATATAAAATCATAATAATAATCATACTAATTTCTATTTTATTACAGTGGTGCCATCATGCCTTTCATTGCATTTGCTAGAATACTGAATAAACCAATAGGGTTGTGATGTTTCTTACTAATCAATGGTGACAAATGAAAAAAAGCAATAAAATAAAACCTTTCTTTCCTTTATATACAAAATGGAATCCCAACTACTAAAATTTTTAGTAGTAATTCAATGACTGAAGATGGTTTATGTAATTTATTTTTCAATATTTTCATATTATTTATTTATGGTGTAAAATTGTAAAATAAATATTTAAATATGTAATTGACAGATATTAAACAGAACTATTGTTATGAAAAATTAATATATTTTTTTAAAATTTCAGTTTTAACTTTATAAAGATATTAAAAAAAATACTTGACAACAATTAATGATAATTTGTACAATTAGATGATTATATAATCCCAATTAATCATTCATTGTTAATTGACTAACTCAATAATTGTTCCATCTTCAACAGTAATTATATCAATATATTTATAAGACTGTTCAGACAAGCCTTTCTTATGTTACATCATGATTGGCCAATCAAAGAAAGCATTATTTATTATGCCATAAATAACATCAGTTTTCATAGGCCAGATGTAATGTTACATAATGTAAAAAATGCCTTTATAAACACAGCTTAACTGTGTAGTTTGAATAAAACTGAAAAAAAGTCATAAATTTATAATCATAAATGAAACTGCTGGATTTTTGGAGAAAGTTTTGTGGTAATAAATTAATGATCACTCTTCCTTAGTAATATAAAACACTGGAGTTTTCTGTGATGGAATATTACAGAATTGATCTATTATAAGAATTTAAGTGCAATACAATATACAATTAGCCTATTCTAAATACAGTAAAAAAGGAAAGAAGCAGTACACCTTGTATAACTCCAGAAACACAACTGACACATTAACAACAGTGTGAAAATCTATATAAATGCTTTAACTTTGGCTTTATCATTCAATAATCAATTATTTTTATCGTTATTTTATTTTTGTATCATTTCTGTTTGCTTGTGTTTATGCTTTCAGTTGTAATTATAATATGTATTTATTTATTTTTATATCCTTGTATTTGAATTGTATGAATGTTCCATTGATTTAGAATGTCCTTTTCATTCTTTTTAACTTAAATTATTTCTGTTGCATTTAATATGTTTTTGAATGTTCTTTTTTTTTCCCATTTAAGTTTGATGTTCCAACTGAAGAAAACCTATGGAAGTAGGTTGAAAACATTTTGGTTGATTAAATATATTGCTGGAGTTATACAAGGTGTACCACTTTGCTTTGGTTACTTCTCCAGTTTTGTCAAATTATTTTTCAATNTGTGAACTATCATCTCTGGGACTAAATATATAATAATTAATAGATGTTCACATTTTTTATAGGATGAGGCCATTGCCTTTACAATGGTAAAGGTAACGGAGAGAGATATGTTTTGTAGCACACAGTGATGAGGTCGCCACTTTACTTTTTTGTTTCATGCACAAAACATAGTAGTAAAGTATTTATAATCCGCTCTGCTTACAGTGAACTAATTATAAATAATAAAATTTTCATACTTTAAACTAAGCAAATCACTACTAACAAAGTATTTTTATCCAATTTATAATAACTTTGTTTTAAAGGCAAAAATTCATAAATATATTTCTTTTT